GTTCCCGGGGCCGAGGAACAGGAGCACTGCAGACCTTCTGGTGACTCCCTGCCATCAGATTCCCAGGCAAGGGCGCCTCCGAGCTCCCTGGCAGGCGAGCCAGGAGAATGCAGCCTTTTCAGGCTCTGGCTGACTCCGGAGCGGCTCTGATCCCTGGAACTCCAGCTTGGCTTCTACCTCCTTGAAGGTGATGGCATCAGAGGCAGGGGCACGGGATGGGCCCCAGCGGGGCAGAGCCAGTGGGAGTTCTGGGACTCAGAGGCTGCTGTGCCATCTCTGCCAGGCCTAGACCCACTGGCGTGTAGAACACAGACAGCCCCGCAGGCACGGCCCAGCCCCTCTCAGCTGTGGGTGCCGTAGGTGCTTGGCTGGGCAGACACTTGTGACTGGGGGCAGGTCAGGGCGGCCAGGCCCAAGCAGATCCTGATGGCTTCAAACTCAGCAGAGCTTGAAGTGTCAGAAAATAAATCCACTGGGGTCAGCTGAAGCCATCCAGTTCTTGAGAACAGACTGAATCTGCTGTGTGACCAAGCTCCTGAAATACAGCCTGTCCCTGCCCCTGGGCTGGGCTGGGGCCCAGAGCTGACTCATCAGCACCCACTGCTCCCGCTGGCCCGAGGGTCCTCTGGGGTCCTGGTCCCAGGATGCTCAGGCCCTGCACGGGTGAAGCTCAGCCTTGGGGGCTGTGACAGGCATCCCAGAGCAAGCCCAGCTGTCCACCCCACAGGCTGCCACCTCCCTGCAGGCCCAGGCCTAGGCCCACGGCCAGGTCTGCTTCTCTCCCACACTGGCCAGAGGCCAACAGCTGGTTCTGGACTCCACATGCAGGGGTGGAGGCTGTGGAATGTTCCCCGGGACAGGAAGCCACACGGGACCCTGTCTCTCCTCCAGGACCCCAGCCTGACAGGAGGTCTTGGTAGCCCCTCAGCTCTAAGGCATGTTGTCCTTGAGCAAGTCTGAGCAGGAGGCAGCGGTTCAAACTCAAGAGGCTCAGGGTGCCCCCTCCTAGGTGCTGCCTGGGGTCGGCCTCCTCTCCTACCCTCCGGCAGAGGAAGAGCAGCCCCGTCCACCCAGCCATGTCCAGAGCAGGACAGGAACGGTGGTGGGCTATGTTTGCACGTGGAGGTCACAGGTCTGGGGCCAGTGTGCTCCCAGGAGCCGGCGAGGACGGGGCTGGGCCCTCCTTACCTGCATGGGCCGGGAGCACATGTTGGTGAGCACCTCCTTCCGGGCCAGTGAGTACTTGTCCTCTCCAAATGTTTGGGTCAGGCTTTTCTAGAAGCAAATCCCAGAAACCTGTGTGACATGTGGTCCAGCTCGGGGAGAGACTCAGGGCCCTGTCATCTGCTAAGTACCTCATGCCCAGCTCTCAGGGGGAGGAGCTGCCTGGGGGCTCAGCCCTGCTCAGAGGGGATGGGTGGGGAGAGGGGGCAGCTGCCCACAGCCTGTGGCCCACACTGGCCTGAGGTTAGTCCCTTCCATGTCTTGCTGACTGGCCTGGACTCACTGGGCTCCAGCTCTCGGGCCTAGTGCACCTGCCTTCCCCTCCCAGGGTCGGGCCTGGGTGAGATGTCTCCCTCCTCCAGGACCAGAGCCAAGGCCCTGGGTTTCTTAGCTTCGCCCCGGGCACGAAGCACCTGAAAGTACCCACCAGGAACATTCCCGGGATTCCTACAATTCCAGCCCCCACACTCTGAAAGCCTCTGGGCCCAAGACCAGCCCTTTCTGGCCACAGGACCCCTGCCCTCTGCTAGGCCTCCAGGGTCCCCGCTTGGCACAGTCCTGGTGAGGGGGCAAGTCCCATTGTCAGGGCCCCTGTGACTCAGAGGGGCCCTTCCTCCCAGGGCCTCCTTCCTCCTCTATAGGAGAGACCTGGCTGAAGGGGAGGGACTCTGGGGGGAAGCAGAGGCCCTTGGACCCCCCACCTTCCAGGTCTTTCTCTTCTTTCCCCCAAGCAGAGCCTCCCCTGAACACTGCCCACCACTCACATTGAGGGCTCCTGCGGAGCTGAAGTCCACGGGCAGCCCCATCTGGTCGCAGAATTCCACCAGGTCATTGAGCATCCTTGTCTGGGGTGGGGGGTGCCGGCGCAGCAGGGCCTGCTCGGGGAAGGCGCGGTGGATCTTGTGGGCCACTGCCATGTTGGCCAAGAGCATGAACTCCTCCACAAGCCTGCAGAGGGTGGGTGGGATGGGAGGGACCGCTGGGGTTGGGGGACAGCTGCTCAGGCTTTCCCACGCTGCAGCCTGCCTGGCTCTCTATCACCCTTCAGGTCTCAGCTTAAAGACGACCTCCCAGCTGCCTCATCTCATGTGTTCCACCAAGTCCCTGTCTTGCCCAGCACTCCCATGGTCTCTCCTGTACCAGTGGGTCTACACCGCCTTCTCCTCTGACTGATTAGCTCCGTGCTGGCTCCTCCACTAGACCCTGGAGAGCAGGGACAGCCCCTGCCTAATTCACTGTTGCAGCCCCAGAGCTCAGCAGCCCATCCAATCCAGAGAAGGCACCGAGGAAACATCTCTGCTGAATGATAGGACACCTGGAACCCTTGGGCAGCCCTGGCTGTAAGAGGGCACTGTGCCCACCCAGGCCATGGGAACCCAGGGGGCCCTGGCCCAGGCCCTAGTTCGAGGACTCCCTGGGGCATGCCGCAGTGGTGAGTGGACTGAGGATCCCGCAGGACCAGGAGTGTTGGGCTCCCTTCTCCCTGGGGATGGTTCCTTGTTGGAGGGAAGCCTCCCGACAGGGTCTCTGAGGGTGCACAGCAGAGTCCGAGGCAGCAGGAGGGAAGCCCTCACCAGGGGATGAGGCCAGAGTCAGGACGGGGTGAGACCCCGGAGTCACCCTTTCAGGGGCTGCTGCTCTGGCTTCACTGTACGTGAGTGTCGTTAGACTCAACAGTCACTATGAATGGACGTGGCTCCCGATGGAAGCACTGAGCAGGCCAAGTCCCTCGAGATCCAGGTGCTGCTTTCCAGTTGCCCCTCTTCCCCCAAAATAGCCAGCCAGGGGTCTCCCACCCATGCTCTATAAGTCTCACTCCTGCCATCAATCTCGTCCCCTTACCCTGCTCCAAGTCTTCCCTGAATGTCAGATAGAATTCCCTTCCATGGGCGTTTATAGCTAGGGTCACCTGTGTCGCTGTGTAGTGCCATTGGAATCTTATTTAGATTTTGTACTTACACCTTGTCAACCCAAGAGGAGTCCCAGTTCCTGCTGGAAAAATGGCTTATGTGATCTATCTTGGTTGGGTCATCATCAGCAAAAAGCCTCAAATGCATAGTTCATACATTCATTCGTTCACTCATTCCACAAGGATTACCATGTGCCAGGCACGGTTCTGGACTTTCTCCCCATGCAGCCGGACAATCCTCCTGGGCAGGAGCACCCAGGTTGTTCCCTGGTGCCCCCTTTTCCCTTCAGCCCAGCTGCAGGCCTGGGGGAAGAGGGACGCCTGTAGCCTCCAGGTCGACCCTGGGTTGCATTTTGCAGTGTGGCCAGCAGGGGGCAGCATGGCCCCATAGCGGGTTGCACTGAGGCTGCAGGCTAAGGAGGCCACTAGGCAGGCAGGGTGAAGGAGCAGGGCTGTGCAGGGCAGCCCTGGTTTCTCCCCTATGCCCATGCCCCACCCTATGGGTTTAGGAACTGAATGTCTGCGGGCCCCTGGGGCTGAGCCAGGCTCCTGCTCTTAGTTCCTGCAGGGGCTCTCCACATCCCTTCTCATGGTCTTCAGTAAACACGAGGACAAGGACAGGAGGGAGGGGACAGGGAGAGGGTGGGGCTGCTGTGGAAGCCTCTGCCATGACCACAGACCTCAGGCAAGCTGCTTCCCTGGCAACTCTGCTACCTGTCCTCCCTGGACCCCAGCACAGTCCCAGGAGTCACCCCTGCCCTCGACAGTGAACAAGTGCACTCTTGGTGACCTTGAATGTGAAGCCTGGTGAGGCTTTGGAGGAGAGGCCCACCGTGCCAGGGCCCCTGGTGTGGCTAAGTCTCTGCTTCCCGTTCGGTCTCAGCCTCTCCCTCCCTGTGAGGGGCTGGGAGTCGGGACAGTGCCTGTGGAGCTCTGGCACAGCCAGTTGGGCCACATCAAGCAGGGACCCAGACAAAGGTCAAGGGCACTGAGGAGGGAGCTGGCACCACAGGGAGTGCCCTTCCCAGGCGCAGTCTTGGCCATGATGCTTGTGGACAGCTGCAGGGGCTATTTGCTGCCCTCGTGTCCTTCTGATGCTGCAGGTAGCAGATGGGGGGCAGAGAGAACAGCTGGGCTCTGAGCAGGAGTGAATGAAGGTGGGGCTGACCCCTGGCTGTGGTGGTGACGCCCTGGGGTGGCTGGAAGGGAGGTCCCCAGTGGAGTTTGGGGACAGGAAGGTGAAAGCCAAGCCCAACTGTCAGCAGCCAGAGTTGTACCAAGTTCAGGATTCACCATCGCAAACGGGGCCCCGCACCACAGGTGGGAGAACTGAGCTGAACAGTGCAGGGTGGGTGGGGTAGGGTAGGTGGGAGTCGGGCTCTCATCTGGGGCCAGCACATGGACCCCAGGCTCCAGTCCCCTGCCCTGTCAATTCCCTGATGGGCCAGCAGGTGGCGCCCAGCCTCCTCCTCCTCCTGAGGTCCTGGGATGGGACAGCTTCAGCTTAGAGCCCAGGCGCTCCTACAAGAACCCAGGGCCAGAGATGGAGGCTGTGACAGCGACCCGGTCAGCAAGGCCCTCTCCCCTGACCTCCTCCCTCCCTCTCCTGGGGAGCAGTGCTAGCTGCACAGCCTGGACAGCCAAACCTCCTAAACGCCCCAAGGTGTCCTGGCTGGTCAGGCCGCGCCGCTCCACACTCTGGGCCATGGGAGCCCTGAAGGGGGCGGGGAGGGCACTGGGGCTGCTGGATGGGAGGGCACCCTGTCCCCTGCCCTGGCCTCAGACCTTGCTCCCCTGATGTGGGCACCAGCCCTAATGTCACCCCGCTCCTCCCAGCGCCAGGGGCACAGGCATGAGATCACTGGGCATGCTGGGGATGGGGCGCTGGAGCTCAGGGACTGCCTGACAACTGCTCTCTGAGGGGCTGGGAATGGCTGCCAGCCAGCATCACCTTCCAGAACAGCAAGCCAAGGCCTTGGAGACAGGGCCTCGGTCCCAGACCTGGCATCGGCCAAGCTTCTGGAGCTTGTGCCACCAGAGTCCCATGACTCTGGAGGTCTGGGGTGGGCTGTGCTGTGACAGCGGCTGCAGGGCCAGGACCCCAGCTCCTCGTCACTCACTCCCAGCACCCCTCCTCCCTGGGTCTGGGCCTCCCTGGGGCAGGAGGGGACGGGGAGAGGGAGGGCAGGGATGAGGCTTGGCGAGCCCCTCACATGCTGTGGCAGACAGCAGGGAAAGGTCACCAGCCCCCACACACAGTACACACTCCCCACAGCAAGGGTGACAGTGGTAGACACACAGGTTCCCACAGTGCACAAGTGTTCCTCTAAAGAAAAACCAACAACATCAATATATGAAACACAGGACTCTTCATGCATTTACGACAGGGTGTCCTTAGCCCTGAAGGTGCCGGCGAGCACCAGGACTGTGCAGAGGCAGCCACTGGGTGCCGCATTCCTGCTGGCTCAGGTGGGACCTGTTTCTGTCGCATCTTAAAGGATGATCCTGGGAAAGGCTGCTGTCGCCCTGGCAGGGCTCATGAGAAAAGGGTGAAGCCATCTGTGCTTCAGAGGAAGCCTGCCTTCCCTGACCACCAAGGAACCGGATCTGAATGTTTCTCTGCTCAGCTGGAGGGTTGGGGTTCGGTTTTGACATTCAGGGACCTGGGGCATCTGTGGCCAGGAAAGACCTGTCTAGGGGTGGTGGAGGGGGGTCCTTCACCTCTCGTGGCCCTGCCATTGGGAGAGGGGCTTCTCCTCAGTGGCTTGCAGGGAACGCCAGCATCAACATCAATCCCATGAAACATGCGCTCTTCATGCGTTTGTCGTAGGGTCTCCTCTGCCTTTAAGGTGCCGGCGAGCATCAGGCCTGTGCAGAGGCAGCACTGGGTGTCGCATTCCTGCTGGCTCAGGTGGGACCTGTGTCTGTCACATTTTGAAGGACGATGCTGGAATGCCAGCCCTGTCACTCTCTTGCTGCATGATTTCAAACTTTTTTTTTCCTTTAAGTTTGAGACAGGGTCTCGCTGTGTTACCCAGGTTGGAGTGCAGTGGCATGATCTCGGGTCACTGTAGCCTCGACCCCCCGGTGGCCCAAGTGATTCTGATCTTCCCATCTCAGCATCCAAGTAGCTGGGACCACAGGCGTGTACCATCTTGCCCGGCTAAATTTTGTTTATAGAGAGGGGGTCTCACTATGTTGCCCAGGCCGGTCTCCAGCTCTTGGGCTGAAGT